AATTAAATACCCAAAACTAATCAATGCCGCTACTATATCTCCCTCCTTTATTACTTTCTGTGATTGACTTCAATGAATCCTTGAGCTCAAAACCATCACTGATTACTGAACAACACTCGCCGCCGCTACCACCACCGTCACCGAGAGAGATGGAGGCAAAGCTGGCAGGTACCGGGGTCAGCGAGATAGAGCAGATGCCAGAAGTCCCGCAGCACAGAGGGCCCCACCACCGGAGGGCCCACTCAGATACCTCCTTCCGCTGCTTCGACGATCTCCTTCTCTTCGACCCTTCCGACCTTGACCTCTCCTCCCTCGACCTCCCTCCCTCCAATCCTCCTCCGCCGCGTGCCTCCCCCATGGCCGTCGATTCCTCCGACGAGTCCTCATCCAACGGCGCCCCACCTCACGCTCCCCCTCCTCCTCCCTCTTCTCTCCCCAAACCCCCCAGGACAATCTCCCACTTTCGCAGTCTCTCCGTTGACTCCGACTTCTTCGACGGATTTGCCCTCACCCCCTCCGTTCCTCCCCCTGATGACAGCTTTGGCGGGAAAACCTCTTCGGCCGGGGGAGAGAAGAGACCGTATTATCACAGACACAGTAATTCCATGGATGGAACGAGTTCGGCGTCGTTTGAGCTTGACTCAATTTTGGGTATGGATGGTATGAAGAAAGCTATGGCTCCAGATAGACTTGCCGAGCTCGCCCTTGTTGATCCTAAGAGAGCTAAACGGTAAAGTTCCTTCTTTTTATTTTATTCTTTGGTATAATAAACTATTGGCTTAAAAATATTGTTTTTACTGTATATTAGCGCTTTGTTCTTTTTCGGATAAGCTGGAAACTTCAGTTTATTTGTTAGAACCCCATTAAAGAGTTTCTATTCTGTAGCTTCTCCAATTGGAATTGCTCTGTATTTTCAAGTAAAGTTCTTCAATGATCCATTTCTTACCTTTTAAGAAGGAAAAATGAACTGGGTTGTCTGGTTTTCCTAATGGGAAAATCATGGTTGTTAGGATTCTTGCTAATAGACAATCTGCTGCGCGTTCGAAGGAGAGGAAAATAAGGTACACGAATGAGCTGGAGAGGAAGGTGCAGACGCTTCAGACTGAAGCAACCACCCTCTCTGCTCAAGTCACGATGCTTCAGGTATCTATGCAACTTGCCTTTTTTAATTTCAGATTTTGAAGAAAAATATATCAACTAAGCATTATATTATATATTTCATTATCCAAAAATGATCGTTTAGAGACTTGAATTCTAGACCTATATTCTTTTCTCTATTTTGGTCTTCTTCCTTTTGGTTGGATACTTAGATTTTCTTGTGGTCAACAAGGATTGATGTTACAATAAGTGAATACATTACAATTATCTCAGAAGAAGTTTGATTTATTGTTCTGTACAGTCTTCTATTAGTATCCTGCTGCCTTGGTCTATTCAATCACCGAGTTCTGTATAGCAGGATTTTTGTTTGTGTTGATGTGCTGCTCACTGGTATTATTCGTAAGGATTGAGTTGTTTACTCTATTTTAGAGGCTTTTCTTTGTTTCTCTGCTAGCAATGCAACTTACAAAGTTAAGCATGGCCTGAGACTGATGGCTTGAATTTTAGAATGTGAGGCGTGTCCTGGAAATAGGAATAAGAAAACAAAATTTGATGAAAAGGGTAAACATGGTGGAACCTACCACTTAACCACGAAGAAAAATTGGATCTCATAATGGTTTTGAACACTATTCTGTCTTCAAAAAGGGAACATGAATGATGAGGTACCAAAATTTGCTTCCCCAAAATTAGGTACAGATTCGTATCATTGGTAAAATTTCTATTTCTACTGTTGTTAATCCTTCTCCTACTAGGATGCCAAGCTGTGGCCAGCTAATTTATTGAGACCAGTATTACAAGCAGGAAGGTTACGGTTCATTTCTAGAGAACTAGGTCTCATGGCATTTCTCTAAATGTTTCTAAGGAACTAGGTGTCTTTAAGATGGAGAAACAAAACGTCTAAAAGAATTAGGTTTCCTTCCAGCCTCTGTTTCCCCTTGTTTCCAGAAGGAAATATATGTTTCTAAGTCTATATGCCTACTGGATTTATTGTTTAGGATATTAATCAGGCGAGAGATTCATTGCTATGCGCGAATAATTTTCTAATGTTAGATGCTAAAAGAAATTTAGTTGGATATGTGCATTTTTTTTAAAACTTGGCTCAGATATTATATTAGATTATACCTATATACCATTATATAGATCTCATACTTGTAATTTTCTAATGTTAAATGCTAAAAGAATTTAGTCGGATATGTGCAATTTTTTCTAAACTTAGCTCAGATATTATGTTGGATTATACCTTTAAAACCATTATATTTCTCATATTTGATCAAGCGTGGAATTGACATAAGATCATTTATGGTAACTATAAAACAAACTAAACTAGAAAATTTTGGGTTTTTTATAAACTACAGCAGGAAATCTAGTCTCCCACTTTACACCAAAAGTACAAGGTTATTGACTTGGCACTTTTTCCTTGTCCATGCATCCCTTGGCTAACCTACAGCTCCTTGGATAGCTCGATTACTTAATTGCTTGATTTTGATTGTATGTTGTTAAGAATTCCTGCTAAATCCTTACATGATGGGCATGCCTGTTTAAGAATGTGCTTGTGTTGCCATAGCTTGATTAGACATATGCTCATTTCTTTTTCTAAATTCTCTACTTAGTAAGTTTGTTGGAGAAAACTTTGCTCTGTATTTTTGCTAGTCCATTAAAGGCCCTATGCTGTGCCAGTTTTTGTCCATTTCCTTATTAATTTACCTAAAGTCAATCAAGATTTATCGCTTTCATTCTTTCATGGGTTAAGGGTGCGTAATGTCTAATTTTGTTTATTATCTTAGGTGAGATTTTATGGTGGTATCAGAAAGCCTTCTTTTGGCACTGTTACCAACTCCAAATATCAATAATATTTTTAAAGCTATTTAGTTAGTTTCTGTGGTTTTTTCGAACTATCAAAGTATCTCAAAAAATTACAATATTGTTAGAATTATTCTATTGTTTAGCATTTATTCAAAAATACTGTTAGAAGTTTTAGTTACTATGATACTTTTTATGGTAACTTCAGAAAATACCACTTCTGGTATCAGTACTGGAAAAATGGCTTCTGGTGCCCTGGTCGTGTCCTAGTCTTACAATTAACATTTATACTTCTATCAGTCGCTTTATGATAGTCTTATGTGGACCACTTAATTGCTAGAGTGCTTCATTTTGATAATTGAATAACTGAGAATTCTTACCTTACCGGACATGATGGCCATTAATATATGCATGTGCAGATGTTTGCTATGGCTAAGTGAGGCAAGCATTCCCATCTATGTCTAATCGCTTCATTTTGATGGTAATGCACCTGGGAATGCTGTGTCATACCAAGACAAACATGATGCCTATCTTTGTTTATGCATGTGCTTATGTTCATTACCTAGATAAGACAAATGCTCCTATCTGTATCCTAGAGTGTTGCTCAGTATAATATTATCTATGCCAGCAAGGAATATAAATTAAACATGTTAAGAAATTAACTTAAAGTAGTTAGGTAGTGATTCTAAAAACCGAGTAGTTACATGTTTGGATTAAAATGCTTCTTGGAGAAAAGTTATTGGGATTAACAAACAAGTAATTGAACATGTCTTTATTTGCTTTCTGCAGAGAGACACAACAGGATTGACTGCCGAGAATAAGGAACTTAAACTGCGATTACAGGCAATGGAGCAACAAGCGCAGCTTAGAGATGGTAGGCTGTTGTATGCTTGAGCTATTTTTCAGAAGTTTAAGTGGGAGCTTTCCTTCTGTCATCCCCTTAGATTTTTCTGAAGTTTTAATTCTCTTGTGATTTGCAGCTCTAAATGAAGCATTAAGGGAAGAAGTGCAGCGACTTAAGATTGCAGCCGCGCAACTCCCAGCTGTCAATGGAAACCCTTTCAACCGGGTACTTCCTCCTCAATTTCCAACCCAGCAAACAGCATTGCATCCGTTTGGTAGCCAGCAGCAGCAGCAGCAGCAACAAGCAGCGCAGATACAGACGCTTCAATCATCCCCCAGCAACCAGTCTCTCAACGGACAGCCACACCCTAGCTTTATGGACTTCAATTAAAGGGTCTAGTGTGTTTCATCACAGAAGAAAGAGAAAATTCTAATCAAGATTTTGTACATAGAAATATGTATGTGATTGCAGCGGGTAAAGAAAAATGGTTGTGAAAAGCGTTGCACATATGGGATATATGTTACCCAATTTAGGATAGCCTTAATACAAAAACATGTTGTAGGAAATTAGGTGCTAATATGCTTTGATCTGGTGAATGATTGCTGTAATGTATCTTTGATATTTGATGACTTGCATTTAACAAATCCTAGTGTTATTTTCTTCTGGTGTGATAAAGCTGGACTCCAAAGTATTGGTTGGAAGGGGAAGGTCAGGGTTCATGTAGGAGTAATTTAATATTTAAAATAAAAGATAAATTCATCTTTTAGAATAAAAAATAATCCTGGTAAAGTTTCTAAATTCTGCAACTTTTTATTAAATTTAGAATAAATTATTTTAATTTCAATAATATTTTTATGTAAAGTGATGAAATTTATAACGAATTATTTAAAGTTCTCAATAATTTTCAAATTTGAGGTAGAAGACCAAATGGGATAACCTCCATTGTAGTTAACGTTACATTGGAATCTTCAGATAAAAGCTTGGTTGTATCCACCTATGGAGTATCTCTCTCAACTAAGATGTATATTAAATTGGAAATTTTCATTAAAAATTTGCAGAGATGAATTTGGGATTTATTATAAAAAATATAAAAAATTAGAAAATATTATCATTCATACATACTTAAATCTCCGATGTACTAACATCCTAAAATAAATTGAAATTTTTGATAAAAACAAAAATAAAAAGAACTCTGTGAACATATCTTTTGGGTAATATCGTTTTGTTCATTACAAAGTAATCTTTGTCTATGTCACCAGTTTATTTGTGAAAATTTTGGAAGCTGCGGTTTGTCTCATACTAGCCCTAGTATCTGGACCCATGTTCTTATTAATTTATAAGATCAATAGCCTGCGAATTCAATAGCAAATGAACCCAATTGATGAATTTGGGAGATGGAGCTAATTAGTTTTTTGCTAATTGTGGGGTTCCTGTTGGTGTCTCTGGTTTCAGTTCTGTTGATTTTGCAGTCATGGAGTTCTACCCGGAAAGCAATGGAGAGAATTCCCGGGAGCTTAGGTTGGCCGATTGTGGGAGAAAGCTTCTCTTTTCTTGCTGAGTTTTCGAGTCCGTCTGGAATTTACAACTTCATGAGCCAAAGACAGCGCAAGTAAATCTCAAACTTTGTGGAATTGTTTCTTACACATAATTTTTTTTAACAAATAAAATATCTGAATTTAACATCTAAATACTAAATCTAATTAGCAAGGTCAACAGGAATTATGATCAAATTCTATGAAACTAAATTATTAAGTAGTCTTGTATTTTTGGCCCAATGATCTTTTACTTATAGCTGCTTAAATCAAATATTTGTCAGGAAAAAATTTTAAGAAATAAATTACTCTAAATAATACTTTGTTGGAAATTGAAAAAAGAAGAATGAAAAAAATTAATAAAAAGACTTAATTTTTAATTTATAATTATTTTTATAAATTTTCAAATATATTGGTACACCCAAAATTTTAAATATATAAAGCATAATTAATTTTAATTCATAAAGTATATTAAACTATTTATAAAAATTCAAAATATACATATTAATTATTATATTTATAACTTATATTTAATTTAATTTTGTGATAAAATAAATAGTTTAGACAAATTAAAAGTTTTAAATTATTATTTTCAACAATACCAACATAAGAGCACGTTCCAACAATATTGTCAATGGGAAATAATCACATTCTTATGGTCTCTAGTCCTCCTTTTTCTTTAGCCAAGAGAGTAAGGACTCCATTAAAATCTGATATTTATATTTATGGGTGTAGGTATGGGAAGATTTTTAAGAGTTATGTACTGGGGAGATACACAGTGTTCATGACAGGGAGAGAAGCAAGCAAAATCTTGTTAACTGGCAAAGACGGGTTAGTGAGTTTAAACCTCTTTTATACTGGGAAGCAGGTCTTGGGACCAACCAGCTTGCTCCAAACCACTGGAGAACCACACAAGCGACTCAGACGTTTGATTGCAGAGCCACTCTCCATTGATGGCTTAAAGAAATACTTTGACTTTATCAATAGACTTGCCATTGATACTCTAGATCATTGGTCTGGCCGAACTGTTCTGGCCCTTGAAGAAGCCTCTACAGTTAAGTATCTCATTTTGTTCTTTTTAATTAAAATTTAGTAACTATTTTTTTAATATTGTTTTTCATATGTCTTTATATGGGCAGTTCACTCTCAAAGTGATAGGCAACATGATAATGAGCTTGGAGCCAACTGGCGAAGAGCAGGAAAAGTTTCGTGCCAATTTCAAACTGATTTCTTCCTCCTTTGCATCATTGCCATTTAAGTTCCCAGGAACTGCTTTTTATCGCGGTATTGAGGTGTGTATGGATTAGTATAATATACAAAAGAATAAGTAATAAACTGATGTGATGTAATGTAATTACATGTAATGATGTTTCATGTGATGATTAGGCTCGGGATAGGATGTATGCCATGTTAGATTCAGTGATTTCCAGGAGGAGAAATGGAGAAGATTTCCAACAAGATTTTCTGGAATCTCTGATAATGAAGCACAGCAGGGGTGCAAACATTAATGGAGAAGACAATGAAGACAAACTCACCGATGAACAGCTCAAGGACAATATATTAACTTTGTTGGTTGCAGGCCATGATACAACCACTGCTGCTCTTACATGGCTGATAAAATTTGTTGAAGAAAACCCATCTGTCTTGGAAAAACTAAGAGTAATTTCCCTGACTTAATAATAATAAACTTTGGTAAGAGCTTGTGTAATTTGATTTTTAAATTCTTGAAACTAAAAATGGCAGGAGGAACACCTAGAAATTCAATCAAACAGAAAAGATGGAGGGAGTCTCACATGGGCTGAAGTTAATAATATGCCTTATACTGCAAAAGTGAGTATGTAGTGATTAAAGTTAATCTTTTTTTAGTTTTTTCCTTAGAATGTGCTGATAGTTTTTGGTTTTTGACTCTAAATTAAAATCTCAGGTAATCAGTGAAACTCTTAGAAGAGCCACCATATTGCCTTGGTTTTCAAGAAAAGCAGTTCAGGATTTTGAGATGGATGGTATAACATTAGGACAGAGACTTGATTTTCCTGGAAAAATTTATAATACAATAGAAAATAATGATTCTCATTTGGTGCGTGTGCGTGTATCCATTACAGGGTGCAAAATCAAGAAAGGTTGGTCAGTCAACTTGGATGTAGTTTCAATACACCATGACCCAGAAGTCTTCCCTGATCCGGAAAAGTTTGAACCTTCCAGATTTGATGTGAGTTCAATTTCATTAATTGATTTTCATTTTTCCTAATTTCCAGATTTATATTTTTCGCTTTTTTTTCGGGCTCAATTGCAGGCACCGGTAAAGCCTTTCAGTTTTCTTGGGTTTGGCAGCGGACCAAGAATGTGCCCTGGAATCAATCTTGCAAAAATAGAGATTTCCATTTTCATTCATCATCTTGTCTGCAGATACAAGTAAGAGCGATGTTACTATAGTCATCATGTCGTGTCCTGTGGTAGTTTTCTAAAATTTCACAGAGATTTTACTTAATAGCCTAACATTGCATAACAATCTAATAAAAAACATTCATAAAAAGTTACTAAATTATAACAAAATATTATAACATTACTGCCAATCGTTATATCTTCGAGATACTACAGTAATAACCAGTAAATAAAACCCACAAAAGAAAAATCTAAAAACTAGATCAGTGAAAGATATGATCAGACTAATCTGTTACATGCATCTGCAATTTTTTAACACTCACCATCTTTGTCACAGGTGGAGACCTCTGTCGAAAGACGACACCATCCATCCAACCCTAGTAAGAATGCCAAAGAGCAAGTACCCCATCGTGGTTGATCCTCTGTAGAAGAGAGACAGAGAGAGAGAGAGAAACGAGAAGCAACAGCTACATCAACGTTTTCCTAAGCAAGAAATTATGTTCCATTTCCTATCCTTTTCATAATATGCTAACAGGCTTCTATTTCATTATATAGACAATAAGATATTGTTTTTCTTACAATCATCTTCTCTCGGTCATAATTACCAAACATGCAAATTCTCCATCCTGATAAGAAAACAATATATGCTCATACCAAGGCATTATTAAATCTAAATTATGGTGAAACCGAAAAGTTCATTACAAACAGAAAGAAGGAATGAGAACAACTACAACAGGCACAATGACGACAATTCATCACTTGTGCAAAGGACAATGACAGTTAGCTCTTCCTACATCTGACACAAGACAAGGAGGTTGAGCCTTCCCATCCTGGTACCAAGTAGACCGATTTTCAACTAATTCTTTCAGGAAAACCTCCAGCTTCTCAATGGTGACATTAGGCATCACTACAACATGTGCAATGTTGCCTTGGCATGCGAGTTGCCACCTACGAACAAACTCTTCATCTTGAGGCCGTTCAAACACCACTGTGCTGCTGAGTTCGTTCAGCATGGCACTGATCCCAGCTTCATGCATTCGGTCCTTCAGATAGTGAGCATTTCTAAGACACTTCTGAACTTCTTTCTGGAACCCTTTGTAACCTTTTCTGTTGAGGGTATACCAGAGGAAAATAGGTGCATGGCCATTTCGGCTTCCCATGATTGTGGCATCTCTAGAAGCTAGGTACTCCACATTTTTTGAGAGTGCATTGATGTGCTCCATTCTAGTTATCTGAACACCACAAGGCATTGGACATCCCACAAACTTGTGGCCAGAGACACTCACACTTCCAATAGGCTTCTTGAAAGAAACCTTTGGTGCCTGTTCACCACCAAACATGAATAGGCACTTGTTTAAGATTAAATATAGTAAGAAAACAAAGTACCTTTTTTTGAGATAAGAAAACCAAGTACCTAACAGGGACATATCTAGTAAAGAGGCATGATATTAGCTGGTCTACTAGATAGTAGAGCAGCTAAGAACAAGGTCAATTTTGTAGTCTATAAAGGTCTCAAGAAGGGATAGAATTACAAATAGGCGGAAAGAATTTGAGTCTATTCAAGGTTTAAGCACAAAAAGGAAATGTAATGCAACATTCCAATGTTCATCCACAGCCCCATTAATACCAGCTGGCACACAAGTTTAAAATAAAATTACTTACGCGCTTGACAAAAGGCATCATCAGTCCAAACAAAGCTCCATCACAGTGAATATAGAATCTATCACGTGAGAATCCACTCTCTTCAAGAGTTTGTATTACAAGATCCAGATCATCAACAGCTCCTTTAACAGTTGTTCCTGCAAAGTAAAAACTACCATCAATTGTAAGATCTAAGTATATGATGCACGCACAGAATTCTTCTCTGCGTCTATGGACAAAAAAGTGAAGGATAGAGACCTATATTGACGTTGACTATTGCTGGTTTGTCCTTGTTAGCAAGTAGTTTCTTTTTGAAATCAGCACAATCAATCTCACCCGAGATGAGAGTGTCAACCTTTACACATTCCATTCTATACATCCTTGCTGCTTTAAAGACCGAGTAATGTGATTCATTTGATGCATATAAAACCCCATCAGGAAACACTTCCCTCCTGGACAATTAAACCGATAACTTGTTTGACTTCTATAGCACAAAGCAATTATGACTAAATTAGAGTGATCATGAAACTATAGATCAACACTGACCCAACTAAAATTCCATGAAGATTGCCCTCTGTACCACAGTTTGTGATGTATCCCCAGTAATCATTTTTCTCTATTTCCCAGAGCCGAGCAAACCAATCCAAAACTCCAACTTCAAACTGTCTGGAGTGAACCCCATAATTGCTCTCTATAAATGGATCACCAAGATTGTTGATGGAAAAATGTTGCAACTGAGCAAGAGCTCCATAATCAAAGTCTAGATTATAAGGATAACCTGCAATGAATGTGTACCACCAGTAAGAATATGCATTTCGCAAGTTGTGCAAACCAAAGAAATGAATAATTAAAAATTAGGTATGATAGATATGTGATAAAAAGAAAAAAAAGAATACCAAGGCCAAGCAAATCGATCTAGAAAGGAAGCAAGTATGCAATAGAGTAAATGGGTAGCTAATTAACATAAGATGATAAAGCCAAAAGGAACTCCAGGCCAATCCGGGTTTTAGCACTTCAACAGAATTTTATTACAAATGTTCCAATATCAAAGTGAAGAATAAGAGACTGTGGTATAATTACTTGAGAAAAAGGAACTGGACCCCATATGGCAGCAGAAAATCAAAAATCCAGAGAAAACATTAACCTGTGTATCAGCAAAGAATTCAGTCTTGGAACTAGAGCTCGATGCAATCTATATCATCTTCTTCAACCCCAAAAGGAGGAGCTTTTAATTGGAGTCATAGAATAGGCAGAACCCCAGAATGAAGTCGCATGACTAGTTCTCATCACTAGAGGAATCTGTATCAATGATCTCCAAATGCTATCCACTTCCTCATGCAAATTAGGGTAACTACCGTCATGCATAGATGGCCTTTGTGGAAATATTCGCAATTGGTACAAGCAATTCAAAGCCCCAGTTGATCGATTTTTAACATTTTAGGTGCCAATGCTAGAATGGAAACGAAATTTTAGAAAAAGAAACAAATTTTACAAGAACAAAAAGAAAACCTACTGAGCATCCGTACTCTGCTAGGAATTGAAAATTTTAAAAATAGAAATAATAAACAAAAAGCATTTTCTAATCAAAATGACTCGTCGTCAACGCAGATTTCTCGATTTAAAATTAATTAATTTATAACACATTTAAGATCAAGAAATAAGATCTGTAACCTGCATGGATTTAGAGTTTGGTTTAAGATTTCCGATTTAACCCAACTCAGAAGGAAACTTTCCTTTTAAACTACCTCCATTTTCTTTTGTTTTTCCTCGAACCAAAAACTCCAAGCCAAACGCAATAAATAAACAAACAAACAAGCTAAACCAAACGTTTTTCCAATCACCGAGGCTGTTATTTAGCACGCATACCTAGATGGTGCTTGGTCCGCTCAATCAAGTTCTTCCTGTATCGAGCCAAGACGCCAGCCATGTAAGCATCCTTATCGCCCGTTAACTCGTCGTTGGCATCCGGCTCCGTAATGACGAGAGATGTGGTATGCATGTTCCTCCCGAGAACGATCTCTCTAACCCCATTCTTCTGCTTATTCCCCGCCTCTTCTCCTACAACCACGCCGTCGGCTTCCACAACGGGAGGCAACGGTTCCGCCACGACAACAATCGGATCGAACACCTCGGACAAGATCTCCGCCCTCCCATTCACCTTCCCCAATACCGGTCCTCCTCCTAGTTGTACTGCCCCAACCATGACTCCTTTCTCCGCTTGGGGAACAGAAACCGTGAAACCTGAAAGAAACTGAAATGAAATGAAACTGAAATGACAATAATATCACGAAAATAACGGATCTGAAAACGTGAGCGACCGAGACAAAGGATGAAGAAAAAGACGACGAGTACCTGAGAGAGAGGCGGTTAAGTCGCTCGACTAGGTGGGTGAAATGGTAGAGAGAATAAGGGGTTTGGGCCTCCGTTATAGGCGCCAACTTTTGGTCTTATTTTCCCGATTGTGTTTACCGTCGTAAACGGACAGTCGAGACTGGAGAGAGTTTTGTGTTGCTTTATTTTTTGTTTTTTTTTTTTAAATTATATTAAAAAAAGAGAGAAATTAAAGTAGACAGAATATATTATCTAAATTAAATACTAATAAAATTATAGTTATGATTAGTAAATAAAATATAAATTATGCATCTCTTTAATAATTTTTTTCTTAATTTTAACATAAATTTTATTAAAATAAATTATTATTTTTTAATTACGATCTTCATCAATCCCCATTTTGATTTGCAAATTAAAATGATCCTCACCAACCTTTGAGGAGTCAAATTTGTTATACATCCACAATTGGTAATCACACTCAAAAGGAGAATCTCCAAGAGGAAAATTAAGCAGATGGGAACAAAAAAAGTTACAAAAACCCAAAAAACTATGTCAAATTCTTGATACTAAAACATTACTACAAATTCTTTTTACATCATGTTTAGAATTGAATAGATTACTTGTAAAAAAATTTCTAAAATTACAATAATCTCTACTTGTATGTATGAGTTTGTTTATTTTATTAAATTTTTTTATGTATTAAAAAAACGTATGTTATTCATCGAATATAAAATAAAACATACATAAATATATTATGCGCATGTATTTAATACCTTGTAATTCCAACCACGATACTTTAAAGGAAAATATTGAATGGTATGGCCACGACTTGGATGCCATGACAAAATTTGCTTGAATAATAACATTTTGTTGTTTGAAGAGAAATTGGAGTTAACAATCAGTAATTGATAAGAATAGATAAAATATAATTCTATCATAGAAAGATGTTTAAATAAAGGTGGTGATAGAAACTTATGTAATATTTTTAGTACGATTATTTTTTATGTTTTAAATATTCACAACATTAATTACTATTAGAAAAATTAATTTTAAGAATATTATGCGAGTAAATTAATTATTAAAATCAATATAAATTAAAAATAAGATATATTGTTTGATAATATAGTACACAAATATATTTAAAAGCATTTGTTGTATATTTTTATTTTTATTGTTGAAAGTATTGTTAAATTGAGTTTTTATTGACTAAAAACTCTTTAATTTATTGTAACAATATAATACATTTTAATTTTTTTTTTATAATGCTGATTACAGACATCAAATAAGTAATTATGAATCTAAAAACTATCATATTGTGAATTAAAATAATCATATGAATTGCAGAATATGTTACAATATAAATGTAAAAATCAAATGATAATTTTTAATTTAAATCAAAAATTTTAGGGTTAGTTGTGATTTTGGTGTCATATATAATTATAGCTTTAGGAAGTAATCTTAATTTTTTTGTTACAAATTATATCTTATAATTAAAACAAATACAATCACTTTAGACATAAATTTAATATATAAATTAGTATCTTAAACAGAGTGTGTATAAAATTTTTAGTTAGGAACAAAATAAATAA